GGGCGGGGGCGAATAGGCGGCGGGCGAATGGGCGGCGGGCGGAAGCGAATGGGCGGCGGGCGGGCCACGGACCGCCTGGCCGACCGACCGCCTGCAACCACAGCGGGACGACAGCGACAAGGACCTCTCGACCCAAACACCACCACCACCACCACCACCACCACCACCACCACCACCACCACCACCACCACCCCTCTTCACCACAACCACTCATGTCATCCCTGCCCCCGCCCGGTGTCGTCGCTTACGCCGCGGCCGACGACGACTGCCCGCCGCCGGTGCGGACAGCCAATGCCCGACTGGAGGACGCCGTGGCGGCGCTCCGCGAGACGCCGTCCATCACCAGGCTCATCCTGCGTGGAAATGCGCTCGGCCCGGCAGGCGGTGGCGCGCTGGCCGAGGCGCTGCGCGGAAACACGGCGCTCACCGAGCTCAATCTCGGCAACTGCGAGCTCGGTGCCTGGGGCTGCGCCGCGCTGGCGTCGGCCGTCGCTGCTGCGCCGCGGCTTAAGCTGCTAGACCTGCGGTCAAACGGGGCAGGAACTGACGACTCGGTTCCGCAGGGCGCCGACGAGCCGCCGGCAAGCCAGCTCGATCCCGAAGCATGGATCGCGCCCTTTACCGCCGACTCGCCTGCGCTGCACTCTCTGGATCTGCGGTCAAACGCGCTCGGAACCCGCGCAGGCGTCGCCCTTGCTTCGGGCCTGTGCCTTGCCTCCACTGCCGGAGCAAGCGCGCTGACCTCGCTCAATCTGCGAAACAACAACATGGGTCAGGCTGTCGGTGCCGCTCTCGCCGACGCGCTCGCCGTCAACACCACCCTCACCGAGCTGATTGTAGCCAACAACGCGATCGGCGGCGAGGGCGCCGCGGCGCTCGCCCGCGTGCTAGGTGACCCAGCCTCTCTGGTCCCACTTCGCCACCTCAATTTGGCGTACAACAACATCGGCGCCATCGGCGCCATCGCCTTTGCCAACCTTCTCGCCCTCCGCCTCACTGGGTCGGGAGCTCAGAGCGATGCCGCCAATGCCGACGACGACGCCGACGCCGACGCCGCCGCCGACGCGCCCGACACCCCGCCGGTCTTCTCGCTCACTTCGCTCAACCTCGTCGGCAACGGCATTCCGTTTATCAACGTCAACCGCACGTCCATTCCGCCGCTGCACTCGGACTGCCGGCCCAGCTCGGTGGCGGCGCCGAGCTCGTCAACGCCGGTCATTCCTGCTGTTGCTTTGTCGCCACCGCCGACGCCGTGGACGGCCTCGCCGTTGATGTCTTTCCGTCGACCACGTGCAGCTCGCTGCTGCAGCATGCTGCGGTGCAGCAGTGAGTCACGTCCATTTACTGGCTCTTGCCCGACTTGAGCGCGTTCGCAATCTCGGCGACGTCAAAGACGGTGGCGACGACCGATCCGACGGCGCCGAGGACAAAGATGCTGCCGTTGAGGATCTTGTCCCACGTAGTCAGCTCGGCCCAGAAGAGCTTGAGGTAGAAGAGGGTGGGCAGGATAAAGACCACGGCCGAGACCGAAAATGCACCCATGAGCGAGGAGAAGAGGCCAAAGAGAGGGATGGCGATGGCAACGCCAGAGATGATGATGACCTCGACCGCGCGGAGCGCATTCTGCTCCAGCCAATACGTCGGGCGCAGCTTGCGCGACGAGAGCAGCGCCTCCTCCATCACACATGTGACTGGGAAGAGCTGGATGGGGAAAGTGCAGGTGAGAACGACACAGAGTGCAATCTTGACCACCGTGACCAGGACCGAGTGCGGGAGGTTGAGCGTGATGACTGCCTTGGTCGCAGAGCCAAAAAACAAGTAGCCAAAGAGGCCAAAGGCAGTGTAGATGACAAGCACAGTACTCACCGCCGCATTGATGGTCGCACCGGAAACCTCGGGCCGTCGCGCAGAGGCGTCGAACGGGAGCACCAGGTTGTGGACGCAAAAGCCAAAGGCGGCGATGCCCCAGAACAGCGGCAAGCTCGTGACATCGGCCGCCTTGTAGCTCGAGAGCTCGCGGATGCCTTCATGCCGAAAGCCCGACTCGAAAACAACAGCCACCACCACCATGACGCACACCACAGCCAGAGTCGACGTCGGCGCAAGGACTCGCAGAGAGCGCAGCCAAGAGAGGGCGATGAAGACCGGCGTGACCATGCCAACCCACTCGTGGGTTGCAAATCGCGGAATGAGCGAGTGCAGGTTGTCTGCCACAAAGATGGTGTAGGCGCAGCAAAAGCCGGCCTGCGTCAGAAACGCCGCCAGCGACGCCACCCGCGCCCCAGCCTTGCCATACGCCAGCTGTCCAATCTCTGACAGATACAGCACGTTGTGCTTGGGCGCCAGCTTCCGCCGCGTTCGCACCAGCAAGTGCAGCGTGTGCCCCGACATCGCTGCAAACAGAATGAGGCAGCCGAGTCCCAGCCAGAGCCCAACGTGCGCCACCCCAAACGGCAGCGCAAGCAGGCCACCACCCACAAACGCCGTCGTCAGCGTCATGTACCCCGGCAGGACACCTTGTCTGTCATAGCCAGAGCAAGGATGCAGATGCAATGCAGCCAGTCCCCAACCAACAGCCAGCCATTCGAGCCACACAGCAGGCCATCGAATCGCACCCATACCGCACACCATCATCGCTTTGTCGTGAGCCACGCCAATGACCGCCGGCCACCAACGTTTGCCTGCCACCCGAGACTTTGCCTCCGCCACCCCCAAAACACACACACACACACACACACACACACACATAAACACAAAAGGAACCCGCGCACGTACTTGGGAGTCTCTTCTTCCTTGGCTTCGGCAGCATGGATCCGCCCGCCGCCCGGAGTCGCCAGCAGCGGCGAGTGCTCGGTGGGCGAGGGGGTGGGCGAGGCCTGGCCGGGAACAACGTTGATGGACGAAGTGGCCGCCACCGTGGCCACTTGCGGGACGCCCATCTCGGCGTCCACCGCGTTGGGTCCCATCGCTCCGCTCCGTCCAGTGTGGTACGACCCGAACATGTTCCGCTCGTTTCCTCTACGCGCACCGTCGAGTGTGCCACCCTCACCTACTTTCCGCCGATGCTGTGTCTCTGTTGCCGCCCTCGCCGCCCCTTTCGCCCGCTCCACCCATCACTCTCGCTCCCTCAACCGGCCCACCGCTCGGACTGCCTCTACTTTCCGCTGCTGTCGCTCAACAAGTCGCCTACATGGTGGTAGACACTATCCCCTTCCGGATCCTCTCATTTCCGCTTCTCTAGTGCATGTCGATCCCGTTTTCTGCGCCGTCTGCGTCCCACCCTCCCGACGCCTCGCAGCCACTCTCCTCCTCATTTCCCCTGGCTACGTCACATGATGTGAGATGAGGTCATCACCGCCATTTGCATTGTCCCTACCTCGCACATGCGCCTCGCGGTCAGGCCTCGCCCTCTATCGCCATACATGCCTGCGTTCTCGGTCGTCCCACTCTCCTTCCGGTGGTCTGCCCCTTCTCCATCGCTCCTTCTCTTGCCCGGCGGTGACTCCCTCGCTGTTCTGAGTTGACCCAAACTCGGCGCAAATGCGACGGCGAATTGCAGCACAATTTTTTCTGTGATCCGCGGCCGACCGGGACACAGCACCAATCCGACAGACAAGTTGCGGAGCCTTTCCACCGCTCCAGACCACCTTCGGCGCAAGATTACTCCCATGCACTCCCGTCTGCTATGGGATGGAAGTCTTCATGGAGCCACACTCCTTGGCTGTCCGTCCAAGGTCGACCTTGTTCCTCTTCGCCTCCGCCCGGCAAGCGGCTGGCACCGGCGCAAGCGACCGCCAGGTTCCACCAAGAGGAACACTCGGCGAGGTCGCCCTCTCCCGGCCACACTTGACACTAGTCGCCCAGACATCGGCCAGTCAGTCGTTCACACATGTCAGCAAGTCAGAGCCATAGCCGGCGGGTGGTGTCGGAGAATGAGGCGTCGGCGGCGGCGTCGGCGGCCATCAAGGCCATGCGGGCAAAGAGGGCTGCCGGCGGCAAGCGACGGGGCGTGAGCATGGCAGCGGACGGCAGAGCGGTGGACCCGGAAGAGGTGGCGGCGCTGGCGGCGTACGGTGATGTGCCTGTGGGCGAGCTGCGTTCGCGGCTGGAGCATCTGCTGCAGTACCTCTCGGTCTGCGTCTCGCACCTGATGACCTACGTCGAGTCGGTTGACGGCGCTGCGGTCTCGTCGCCGTCGGGCGACGCTGCCTCCGTCTCGCGGTTCATGGTCCGCGAGCTGGAGCAGGCTAACGCGCTCTCGGCCGACATTCGATGCCTGCTACGCGTGCTCAAACTCCGACTCGTTGGCCCGCGTGGCGTTTATGATCCCTCGCTGCTGGCGGACGAACTGCGCCGGTTCGCCACCTACGGCTCTGCCCTCGCCGATGTCCGCACCACCGTCCAGCGCCACGCCGAGTTTGCGCAGCACTCTGAAGCCTTTCCGGACGCGCCGACAGTCTCGGACCTGGCGCCGTACGACGAGGATGCAGCCGCTGCGGCAAGCACGCTCCCGGCCGAGCCTACACGCTCGCGACTCTCGTCGTTTGTCTCGTTCTTCTACCCGTCCAAAGCGCCATCGGCCGACGCTGGCTCGGCCGCCAGCCGTGAACACGATGCTGCCGTCCCACTGCTCGCCGATCCGGCGCGAGTCGGTAGCGTGGAGCTGCCGCCGGCCGGGCAAGCGCTCGAGCTTGTCTCCATTCCATACACCGAGGCCGACGCAGCGGCCGACGCAGCGGCCGAGGCAGCGCTCCGCTCCAAGTCGATCGAAGAGATCGAGTCGGACATGGCCGAGCTCCACGCCATGTTCCTCGACGTGGCGGCCATGGTCGAGCAAGATGGCGAGCAGCTGGAAGTCGCCGCCGCCAACATCGAGGAGGCCGACGCCAATGTCGAAGAGGGGACCCGCACGCTCTCGCTCGCCTCCAAGCTCGCGCACTTTGGCCTCCCGCTGGTCGGCGCAGGCGTCGGCGGCCTCCTCTTTGGTCCGGTGGGCGCCCTCGCCGGCGCCAAAGGCGCATCTGCCATGGGCGTCACCGCCGCTGGCGCCGGCCTCGGCTGGGCCTCTGTCAAGGGCATCATCAAGGCCGGCCGCCACTAGCGACGTAAACAGCTAGCGCCTCGTCGGGCCGGGTGGCCAGCCATCCCCCCATCCATCATGCCATCACTCGCACCACTCTCCCCCGCCGTCCCTGACCATCCCCACGGCCACCCACTCCTCCTCACGCCTCACACGACCACCTCCTCCCCCTCCACCCCCCCTCCGCCCTCTCCTCTTGCACCCATCACACACCCTCTTTCCTCATGTGGCGCTCCGCCATCGCTGCCGTCCTCCGCCCGCTCGCCCGCCTTCCGCTCGCCTCGGCCACCTCGGGCGCGTCACGCCCGCACACCCTCGCCTCTGCCGCATCCACCTCTGCCCCTGCTGCCGCCTCGCTCGCCGGTGCACACGTTCCTCGTGCTTCCCAGCTCGCTCGCCACTGCAGCACCCAGGGCGGACGTGGTGGTCGTGGCGGCCGTAGTGGTCGTGGCGGCCGTGGTCGTGGCCGTGGCCGTGGCCGCGGTGGCCGCGGTGGTGGCTACTCGGCTCGCGGGGGAGGCCCTTCGCCGCCGCCGGCATCACCCATCCATGCCTTCAACACCAAGCTCGCCGGCATGCTCCGCTCGCAGCCGGAAAAGGTCGCCGTCGCCTTGAACCAGTTCCCGCCGCCTGCCGCGTCGGATGCGGTCGCTGCGGCGCATCGGATGGCGCCGGGGCGACGCCCGATGCCGCGCCCGAGCCCATCGTGCCTGATACACGGACGTACAACCTCGTTTTGGCTGCGCTGTCACGGACCCGGCAGCTGGAGCAGATCGAGGCAACGCTGGGTGAGATGGGGGTCGGCCAGGCGCCCCTGCCGGACGTGGTGAGCTACACCACGGCCATGTCGGCTGCGTTTAGCGCCGGAGAGTATGCCGCCGGCATGCGCTACTACGCCCAGATGAAGGACGCCGGCATCAGCCCGTCGCACATCACCTACCAAGTTCTGCTTACCTCGTTCCTCGCCCGCGGGCAGATGCTCGCCGCGGAGCGAGTGCTTGCTGAGTACGTTCGGACCGAGGTGGCACCCAAGGCTGAGCGGATGGCCGCGCTTGACGCTGTCGCTGGCGACCACGATGCTGAGGCGAGTGCGGCGAGCCGGAGCGCAGCAGCGCGCAGAGCCCACGAGCTGGCGGCGTCGCGGGCCAACAAATTTGCCACCTTTGTGGTCTCTGCCTACGCCTCGTCGCGTGGAAACGACTCGCTCACCGTCAACGAGATCAGCCGTTTCCTGGACAGGCTGGTCGACGACATGGGTCTGGTCCCGGACGTCAAGCTCTACACCACCCTAGTCTCGTCCTATGCCAAGGCCGGCAAGATCGAGGCTGCAGAGGCTACCTTTAAGGTCGTCCGCGATGACGCAGCCAAGCACGGGACTCTGCTCGACGCAGCGGTCTTCAACGCGCTCCTGCACGGCTTGCTGAAGGCTCGCAGGCTCAGCGACGTCCTCGCCTACCTTCAGGACATGAACGAGGCCGGCATCACCGCGAACACGGTCACGTACTCGATTCTTTTGCAGACCCACCTGCGCGGCGGCGACTTTGCCGCCGCTGACTCGGTCTTTGACGCCTTCCGCGCCTCGGGCCTCAAGCCCGACGTCATCATGTACAACATCCTCATCGCCGGCCAGCTGCACCGAGTCAAGGCCGCCGCCCGCGCCGCTGCCGCCGCCAATACCACGCCGGCTCCGACCGCCGAGAGCGAGCCCACGACGGATGATGCTGCGACAGCCCCGCCGCTCGACGTCGCCGCCTTTTGCCCGCAAATCCTGGAGCTTATGAAGGCCGACGACATCGCGCCCAACGTTCGAACGCTTACCGCACTGATGGATCTTGCCGCCGCTGCAGGCGCCCCGCACCTCACCTTTGAGCTGCTCGAGGGCATGGAGTCGGCCCACGGGCTCAAGCCCAACGTCTACTCTTTCAACGTGGCGCTGCGGACTGCGCTCGCCCTTGGCGACTCGGATCGCGCCGACGCGCTGCAGGCTGCCATGCAGGACGCCAACATTTTGCCGGACGTCGTCACTTTTACCACGCTTGCCCGTTATGGCCACATTTCGGACGACCACCGGCGGTCGTTCATCTCGTTCCTTGTTGCCAAGGGCCTCAAGCCCGACCGCGGCTCGTACGCCATTGCCCTGCGCGAACTCCTAGCGGCCGGCATGGTCCAGGAGTCATGGCTCCTCTACACCTCGATGCCGCCGCACCTCCGCCGTCGCATTCTTGCCCACGGTCTCAAGTCCAAGTTTGAGGCCGCCCTCAGCTCCCTTGATGCCGCGCGCATGGACGATGGCGTCGCCCGTGACGACGCCTGCGCCGTTGTCCGCGGCGAGTGCAAGCTCGAGGACGTTGCGCCCGAGGCATAAATACTGCGTCTCATGAGCTCCCTGTCAGCCGCGCCGTCCGCGGGCCGAGCCGCGCTGTCATAGGCGCACCGGGCGGTCGGACCGGCTTGCGGTTCCTTGGCGGCCGCGCCACGCTTGCTGTTGCCGGTCGTCCTGGCCGTCCACCCGGCCGCGCTGCCACGCGTGTTCGCATCGACAACCGCGCCGCCTGCGGCGGTGACGGCTGCCGAATGCTGGTCGGCGCCTGCGCCTGCGTCTGCGTCTGCGTCTGCGTCTGCGTCTGCAAAATAGCCGCGGCGCGGAGTGCGCGGTTCTCTTCGCGCGCCGATCGCAGGTGCTCCTGGCACTGCTCCAGCTCGCGCCGGAGCTGGACAAACTGTGCGAACGAGCCGTGACCCTCTCGCACCACCGAAGTGAGGTCGGAGGCGCCGCCTTCGATTGGGATGCGCGGGACGGCGGCACGACGGGCGCTCGCGGCTGCAGCCCGGGCCTCTGCAGCCTCGGCGCGCGCGGCGGCAGCGGCTTCCTCTGCAGCTGCATGCGCGACGCGCGTGGTCTTGAGCGCATCCTGAAGCTCGTCGCACAAAGTGCGTACCTCGTTGATCTCAGCCGCTGCTCGCTCGGCCGACTGCTTATGAGCAGTTGCGTCGGCAGTGGCGGCCTCAGCGGCAGCCTTGGCCTGATGGAGCTCCGACTCGAGCTCGCGGAGGCGTGCGCTTGGCACGCCTGCGCTCATGGCGCCGGACGAGCCTCCCGAGCTCAGCGCCTGCCGCTTCTCGCGGGCAAGCTGCAGCTCGAGCCTTGCAATGTGGGCCTTGGCTTCAGTAGCAGCCTCGGCCGCGGCGGCAAGCTTAGCCTCGGCGTCGACAACGTGGCGCTGCAGGACGCTCTCGTTGTCGCGCGACTCGGCAAGCTGCTCGTTCAGTTGCTGCACATCCAGCGCCTGTGCCGACCGGTGAGCAGCAGCAGCAGCAGCCTTGGCCGCAGCTGCGCCAGCCGCTGCCTCGCTCTGTGCCAGCTGCCGCTTGGCCGTTGCTGCTGCCCGCTGCAGGTTGGCCGACGCCTCGGCGCGGACGGCGTCGAGCTCGGCGAGGAGCTCGCGCTCCCGAGCAGCGGCAATGGCGCGTGCTTCCAGTACACTCGCCTCGATCTGCGCCGACAAGGCGCTGGCGGCCGCATCACGCTCCGATGCAAGAACCTGTGCAGCACGAGCTGCATCGGCGCGAGCGGCGTTGGCGTCGGCAACAGCTTGCGCAAGCTCGTCGCGGTGGTTGATGCGGGCAAGCTCCGCCTCGCCGACGAGTGAGTTGAGCCGGGCAATCTGATCCTCGGCGTCGCGATTGGCGTCGAGCCATGTCTCTTTGTCCTTGGCGTACGCGGTAGTGGCTTCGGTCAGCTCGCGCTTGACTGCGTCGAGCTCAGCCTCGAGCACTTGAATCTGACTTGCCTGCGCGCGCACGTTCTCGGACGTGGCCTCGACCATGGTGTCTTTCTCGGCCTTGAGCTTGGCGATTTTGGACTCAAAGATGCGGAAGAGCTCCTGCCGGCGCTCGGCCTCGGCAGTTGCCTCGTCTCGGGCCTCGCGCAGCCGTTCCTTGAGCTCTCCAAGCTGGTTGAACCGGTCCTCGCGAGCCTTGAGGACTTGAGTCTTGAGGGCCTCGCGCTCGTCATCCCAACCGCGCCGAGCGGCAGCCTGTCGCTTCTCCACGTCCTTGGCCTCCTGCATCGCCATGTCGCGCTCGGCCTCGACCGCAGCCAGGGTACGGCGGAGGTCCGGAACAGCTGCAGCGGCCTCGGCGGCAGCCTGCAACTGCTCCATGTTACGGTGGACGGCATCAAGCTCGGCGCGGAGGGCGGCGGCGCTGTCAGCAGCCTCGCGCTCAGCCTTGGCCGCCCGCTCCTCGGCTGCAATGCGGGCGGCTTCGGCAGCCTCGACCTCGGCGGCAGCAACCTCCACAGCTTGGCTCAACTTGGCCGAGCTCTCCATCAACTCCTCGTACCGGCTCCGCGACGCCGCAAACTCGGTGCAGAGCGAGTCGAGCTCGGCGGCGCGGGAGTCAGCCCTGCGACGGGCCAGCGCCAGCTCGTCCTCCTGGGCGGCGCTTCGCGACTCGAGGGCCTTGACTTTGGCGCGTAGGCTCTCTATTGTCTCTGCCTGCTCAGCTATGGTGGCTGCGTCGGCCGCAGCGCGGACAGCCGCCTCTCCGGCCGCCGCCACCGCCGCCGCCTCGGCCGTCGACACCGTTGCCGCCGACGCCAGCCGGACACGCAACTCCATGGCCTCGCGCATGTACTCGTCGCGCTGGCTCTGTAGTGTCCTCCGCTCACGCATCCAGTCGCGCTGCGCTGCAGCCAGCGCGTCGGCCATGGTGTGCGGCGTGTGTGTGTGTGTGGGGAGGGAGTCGAGTGGGCGTCCGCAGCAGCAGGTGCATGAGCTCGCTCTTGGGCCACGAAACGGGGTTTGGCAATTTACGCGGGGACAGCCCTCATGCGGTGTCCTGGCCAAAGCGAGCGTAGACGCGGGCCCAGAGGTTGATGTAGTAGTCGTCATCGAGGACGATGGAGAGCGGGTCGACTCGGATCATGGTCTTGCGCAGTTGCGGCTCGACGGGAAGGACGTCGCCAGAGGCGGCGTCGACCGGGCAGACGATGTTGTCGACGGAGGCATCGTCTGCGTAGTTGATGTTGTCATCAAAGAAAGCTGTGGTGATGCCGGCACTGGCCGGCTCGATGACGACCGGAAAGAACTTGCCGCCGGACGGATGCCACTTGGCCGCCGACCACGCAGAGTAGTCGTCACGGAGGGCAAACGAACCGACAGGGCCGGGCATGAGCGCGAGGAGCGCGTCGAGAAAGGTACCGTCCAGCGCAAGCATGGTTCGATCGGCGCTGACCGGCTCGCTCGTCTCCTCGCCTGAAAGATGACCGGCCTCGGAGATGACTCGCTTTTGGGTGCCGAGGACGCAGAGGCCGGCGCCGTGGCGGTGGAACGAGCCGACCTGGGTGGCTGGGTCGATCTTGTACGCCGGAAGCGAGACGCCCGGGAACCGCGGGTCGTTGCCGTCACAAAAGGCGTTGAACTGCGGGATGATCTCTGGCAGATCGGTGCCAAAGGTGCGGAAGACGAGCTTGATGTTGAAGGGGACAACGGCGGCGGCGCGCTTGGCCTCGAGGTCGACGAGGGCCTTGAGGAACGAGGTAACAATGAGATGCTCGCCGATGCCGTCGATGAGCTTCTGGGCGGTGGCGGCAAACTGGGCGCCCGGTGCGCCGTGGCGGGTAAAGGCCTTGACGTGCTTGCGGCGGACGTCTTTGGCGGCGACGTGGCCGGCTGCGGCGCGGGTTGCGGCGACCTCGGGATGGAAGGCACGGACCCAGTCAACGTAGCTCAGCTCGGCACCGTCGGTCTCTGTCGGGCGCTCAAAAACCAGCTCCGGATGAGCGAGCTCAAAGGCGGCCGAGTCGGCCTCTGTCCCTGGTACTGTCCTCCCCCACGCCTGCTCGGCAATGACGTCGTTGACCACGTCGTCGACGGTCTTGCCGCCGGCCGGGTCTGCCATCAGAATGGTCTTGTTCACGTCCATGAACAGCACATACGTGTGTCCTTCCGCCGCCATGGGTGTTGTCTGTGGAGTCGAGTCTGTGTGTGCGGATGAGGGTTGGGAGAGGGAAAGCCCTTACTCGGTCTCTGCCCGCATCCGCACCGCCATCGGTCTCTGCCCGCACCCGCACAGCACACACACACACACACACATACACACACACACACACACACACACCACCACATATCAGGTGTCCGATCGCACCAGATCAAGTGGCCGATCACACACCACGCCAGACCCTCTCCTCCTCCCTCCCCCCCCACCCCCTCCCGTGCGCCAAATCATTTTCTCCACTTACACCTCACTCTCAGCATCATGTCGTCGTCGGTCTCGTCGGCGTCGCAGCTGCAAGTGGCCGACCCGGCACTGACTGCCACCATCGAGGGCCTCAAGACAGATACCAAGGACGATGCACTGCGCCTTGTCTACAAGGTCATGCCGCAGAAGATTGTGTACCTCTCAAACATCTTCCAGGTGCGCCCCACCCCCATCTCTGCCCCCCCCCCCTCGCCATGCCCTGCTCCCCCCATCCCCGGTCCATCTCCCATCCTTCCACCCCCTCACACTCACCCGGCACACACACACACACACACCCTCTACACGCAGAACCCGGCATTCAACCTCACGCTAGAGTGCATCAAGAACTTTGCCCTGCCTGAAGCTCTGCAGCCGTCGGGCGTCGAGCCCGAGCACGAGCCAGCAGCCAGCGGACCGGCTTTGGCACGATCCGAGCTGCCGCCGCTCAACGCGGTCCCGGGCATCGCCGCTGATGTCGTCGGCATGGAGACCGAGGAGTCGACGAGCGGCGCTGCGGCCGGCGGAGGCGAGGATGCGGGAAAGAAGACTGATGAGAACGGCAAGCCTGCCCTCAAGGTCGAGCTCGGGGCCAATGCAGGACTCACCGCGTCGGCGACCGGCACGCCGTCGAAGAAGCGCAAGCGCGCCGACGACGACGACGTCGCCTCGGGATCGGTTGCCGCTGTCGCCGAGTACCCGCGCACACTCCCGGTGCCGTCGAACGCCGGCCTCAAGACCATCCTCGCCATCATCAAGAAGGAGCTGCTCGAGCTCATCTACACCTGCAACACCATCAAGGTCTGGGTCCAGCTCAACATTCCGCGCATCGAGGACGGCAACAACTTTGGCGTCTCGGTCCAGGAGGAGATTGTCTCGGAGCTCTCGCGCGCCGAGGAGTCGGGCCTCAACGTTCTCGAGTCCATCACAAAGTACTTTCTCATGCGCGCTCGCGTCGTCGCAAAGATGCTCAAGTGGCGCCAGGTCGAAGATTATGCCCAGGCCATCCGCGAGCTCGACGAGAAGGAGTTTATCACCATGAAGCTCTGCGGCCTCGACCTCCGCAACAACTACCACATCCTCTATGACCTCATCACCAAGAACATGGAGAAGCTCGCCAAGCCGCGTGATGAGTCTGGAATGGTCACCATGTACTGACAAGCCTGCCACCATCCTCCGCCGCTGCCGCGCATCGGTTCCTATTCCCCTCGAGTAACAACCCACCGCCCCACCGCCAGCCACAGCGCTGTCACCGTCGCTGCCACGCTCCCGTTCTCGGCTGCCGTGCCGTCGCCCACGGCGCGCGCCACCTCGCAAGCGACCACCGCCATCACCCGCGCCAACGCCGCGCCCACGCCCGATGTTCTGCTCTCGCACCCACGCGCCATCCACCCCATCGCCGCCTCGGCTCCTGGCTCCCAAGCCCTGCAGCCTCCGCTGCAAGCCACCACCTCTCGATACGCCGCCTGGGCGCCCGCCGCCGCCGCCACCTCGCCCGCCCCCTGCCGCGCATCGCCATCGTCGCCGGCTCTCTCGACAAGCCACCGCAGATCCGCCAGCGCGCCAGCCACTGCGTCGTGCCCGCCGCCCTCGCCTACGGCATTCAGTGCTGTAAGGACAGCCACGTCGGCGAGGGTCAGCTCGCTCGCGCTCCCTCGATCCGCATGCCGCTCCCATCCTGGCACCCCAGCGTCGGCCAGCGCCTCACCGGCGTCGTCCGCCGCTGCCGCGTGCGCGCGCAGAGCCGACAGACTCCGCGCCGACATCAGCGCCCGCCGCCGCTTCCTGCCCCCACCCGCCTCGCTCCGCCCGGCCGATCCACTGTGCCGCCGCCTTTTCTTGTCTGCGTGCCGGCCGTCTGCCGCCCTCCCGCCGGCCGCCGCCTCTTCGCCGCCATACGTCCCGGCCGCTACCCTCCGCTGCAGCGCACGCACCGCCCGCGGCGCCACCAGTCCGACTGGCGGCCCGGCACCGGCGGCATACCGGCTCGTCCACACCCCTGGCGCCGCCTCCCACGTCACGTGCGGAAAGGCACAGCGGGTGCACCGCGGGCCCGTCGCTTCCATCGCCACCAGCAGCGAGCACGCCGGACACGGCCAGACTCTTCGGGTGCACTCGGGGCACACCAGCCGGAGCCACAGTCCCGGCGGCGTCGCCTCGTCGTCGCCCTCGTCCACAGCCTCCTCCCGCAAAGGTACCGACGGCACCGCTCCGCACACTGTGCACTCGGCGTTCATAAGAGCGCTATGCGTCCCGCTAGAGACAACGTCGAGGCTTCAACAAACCACGACCTTTTCGGGCCGTCGTGCAGGGGGCAATTTCATTGATCAGTCACCCTGCGTCGCGGCTTCCCCCCCGAGGCCGCGCTTGTGCAGCCGCTTAGCTTGCAGAGCCTGAACAGTATTGGCGGCGACAACAAGCGTTCGCTGGTCGTCCTCGTCGAGCCGATCGAAGAGGCGATACACCCGCGAGACGACCAAGGCCTTGAGCGCCGCCCGGTCGGACGACTTGAACTTGAACGGAATGTGGTAGCGCGAGAACTTGCGGAGGTAAAAGTACGAGGCCTCGCCCGCCTTGACCGCCAGCGCAAGAAGGACAACGGCCATGATGCCAGCTACAGCGAGCGCAATGCGCCACACCGCGTCGGCATCGGCGCCATCGCCCAATGCTACCAGCGAGAGGCCGAACAGATGGGCAACAAAGGTGGCGATGAGACACGCGATGTGGTACGCATTGAGCTCCGGCCGCAGATACGGCATGAAGAACGCTTCCGCAAGCAGGACGGCAAACCGGACCATGAGTGAGGCGACCACAACGAGGACCGGCGTGTACGTGGTGCATGCCAGACCGGCGAGCACCGCCCGGAAGCTCGCCTTGATCGCCACCCACCCGTACATGCTCGGCCGGAACGAGACGTACAACGCACCATACTTGAGTGCCATGTCGCGGTCGTGCCGCGCATGCCCGACGTGCAAAAGTAGCGCCGCGAGGCCGGCCGGCGCAACCACCGCTCCCAGCGCCGACGCCGCAGCCGCCACAGGCATCGCCAGCCACCACGCCCGGTCGTAGCAAGGAATATGAGCCGCAAAGATGAGGCGCGTCCCGGCCGCGCCATGGCCTTCGCATGCAAACAGCGAGACAGCCTTGAAAAGAAACAGCGGATGGACAACCAACAGCATGTACACAACTGCGTTCGTTGCGTGCGCGGCACGGTCCGAACGCGCGCCGCCGCCCATCGTGCTCCGCCTGTTCCCGCTGCCCCCGCCCCCGTTTGAAAACATCCTTGCAACCATCGACCGCCCGCTTCCGCTCCCCTCGCTCCGTCCGCACACCGCCACAGCGCTCACATACGCCGTGCTCACTACCGCCACCACAAGCACTGGCCCGAGGAGCGAGACGCCCCACAGCTGGTAGAAAGTCAGGCCCGGAAAGACACATTCGAGTGCAAGCAGATCGGCGTTGACCAGCGAGACCGACGCCCACTTGAGCGCCGTACCCACCACCCGCGGCCACACCACCGGCAGCAGATAAACCAGCCCGATGTCCTGGAGAAAGGCCATCACTAGTGGGAGCCACCCGCGGAGAACGCCCACGGGCACCGTAAGTGTCACCGCGCCCATCACCGCCACGTACCCACCCAGCACAGCTGCCATCCGCAGTATCGGCGCCGCAGAGCACTCGTGACACTCCCAGTGGATGCGATAGTACCCGCGAGCGCACGCACCACACAGCTCGCCGGTGTGGCCCGCGTCGCACCCCGAAGGCCCGCCGCACGCCGATCGCGCCGCGCAAGGCGCAAACCGCGTGCCTGCCGCGTCTAGCCGGTACCATCCGGGCGCTGCAGGGAGCGGCGGCTCAGTGCCGCGCGCACACAGCGCTCCGGGCGGACACGGCTCGCAGCTGAAGACGCTCCCGTCGCCGGCCGGCGCTACAAACGCGAATCCGCTCGCGCATCGACAGAGCGACACATTCCACGCTCCCGGCAGCGACCACGTCGAGCCGGGTGCGCTTGTTCCCGATGCCTCTGCCTCGCACTCGCGGCAGCTCGCGCTCTCGCCGCCGCTCGAGTATGTCCCGGCCGGGCAGACCGCACAGAACGTCGTTCCGCCACTTCCGCTCGACGGTGCATGGCCGGGTGGGCAGTAGAGGCCTGCGACCCCGTCTGCGCACACCAGCACCACGCCCGCCAGAGCCAGCCACAGCACCACAGCCGCAACGCCCATCCGCCCCCGTCTTCTTGCGCCGCAAGTGAGTGAGGTGATCACAGCCTCAAGTCAGTGGCGGCATTGCCGGCTTGAGTTGGCCAGCAGGCGGAAGACGACAAAAAAAAGTGCGGTCCGCGCTCCTCCTCAATTCGAAACCAGACACCCCCGCATACCGCCTCCATGAGCACGCCGCACCCATCTCTGAACCACAGCCGCGAGCTACAACGCGGAAACGCAGCTAGCAGCGCCTGCACAGCGGATACCGAGGGTATAACCACGAGCAAAAGAAGGGGGGCCTCGAGGGCCCCTAGAAATTATGTTTGTGGAGCTGATAGCACGTTCACCTTGGACATCAGAGAGAAAAGTTATCCGATGTGTTGTTGTAGGCGACGCCAACTCCAACTCGATCCGTCGTTCGCAGTTGACTATAAACCATTCATCCGATTGCACGACCGAACGCGACATGCCGCGTCGTCGTGCAGGCTCGCACTCGCGCTCGCGCCACGTGGTGGCGACGTTGACGCACTCACCATCACCTCTCGTCTCGCCCAGACAAGACATTGACCGCTCCACCCGGCTTCTTCTCCGTATCTTTATAGAAAGCCTTTCATGTACCGCCTTCTGCGCCCCCAGGCCGCGGTAACGCTCGCATCGCTGCGGTCGGCATCGCTGACGTCGTCGGCACCTGCAGCGAGCGACGCGACATCTTCGGCGACGGCGTCGTCGCGAGCGACCGGCTCGGGCGGCTCGATGATGGGCGCGCTGTCGATGGCCGGCGTCTCGGCCGCACTCATGGCGGCTTCGGTGACTAACGTTGCGGCGACCGGGGCTGCTGTCGGGCCCGAGGCTCTCGACGATCCGGTCCTTGCCGCCGTCCTCCGCGATGCCGCTGGCCGCGACACTCGCGACGCCGGCTTTGCCGCCGAGCATGAGCTCGGCATCAGCGGCTCGCCGGCGCTCGACTTTGATTCGCTCACTGGCTTTGCTGCCGATCACCTCTCTGCGCCGGGCCGCATCGACAGCGCGCCACAGACCAAGGCCGCGGCGCGGCAGCAGCGGCGACTGGCGGATGCCGTCGCCGCCGCTCTCGAGTCGCCGCCGGTTGCCTCGTCAGCGGTCTTTGGCCCCGGCTCGCCGACGGGTAGCTACCTGCGCGAGCATCTGGCGAACGCGGGCAAGCCGAGCGGGTCGTCATCGGGGCGGCTGGTCTTTGACGCCGCCTCACCGGTCCTCCTTCCCGCCGAGTCTCACACCGCGTTTGGCACGCTCTATGCCGGCGTCATGGACGGCGTCCTCCAGGTCTTTGTGCGGCGCATTCCGGCCGATGTCGCCGACATTGCCGCGCTCAAGGCCGAGGCCCGGTCCCTGGCCGCGCACGACGCCGAAGGTTGCTGGCTCTCTTTCCGCGGCATCGAGCGCGACGCCCACTATGTGTACGTCGTCTACTCCGGGCCGGCGGTCCTGCTGCGGGCGGCGCTTGTTGAGGCGGCGGGTGGGAGCGGGCCGCTGGCGACGCTCGGCGCACGGCTGGCGTTCTGCGCCTCGCTCCTCCGTGCCATCGGCCCGGCGCCAGACCTGGCCCACATTGCGCCGCACACTGTGATGGTGAACAGCGACGGGCTTGCGGTGCTGACCGGCTTTGACCCCGCTACATGCGCCCATGCGGGCGGCTCTGATGGCCATGGCCCGTTCTCGTCGCTCGCGGCCCTGGTGTTCTACATTGTGACGGCTGGCTCGCGGCTCGGCGCCGGTGCGCGACTGGCCTCGGTCCGGGCCATGTGCCCTGTTGCTGGACCTCAGGCTGCGCACCTGGTGCGGGCGCTAGTCGACGGTATGGCGCCGCTCGACAGCCGCGATCCCGCGAGCGTGCTACAGCATCCTGCGTTTCTGGCGGCCGAGGCGCAGATGGCGCTCGTTGCCGCGCTCACCTCGCGAGTCCGCGCCGCGCGCACCCTCGCGGCCGGGCCACCGTCTCGGTTTGCAGCTGCTGAAGCTGCGTTCCTGGCCTCGGTCGAGTCAGCGCTTGCACCCCTGGCCGACTCTGAGCTTGCGGCTTTTCTCGCGTCGCCACAGGGATGGAAGGGCGCGTTTGACGAGGCAATTGTGGCGCATCTCGGTGCTTTCCGTGCGTATGATAGCGGCTCTGTCCTCGATCTTGTCTTTTTTGTCCGCAACTTTGAGGCGCACGCCTCCGAGTTTCCCGACGAGGTGCTTCGCCTTCTTGCCGACACCGCCGACACTGCCGACGCTGCGGGCGGCGACGTAGAGGAAGCATGCTACAGGCTCCGGATCGAGGCGCCGCGGCGGCGTGCGGCGGTGGCCAACTTTGTTGTGGCACGCGTGCCATCGCTTGCGTGCTCGGTCTTTGCTGCGCTGCAGGCCGGCGCTGCAGCGCCTTCGCCTGCACCCGCGGCTGCAGCGCCTGCTCCGGTGGCACAAACGTCGTGGACGACGGTGGTGGCGCGTGGCCGGCGGCGCGACGGCATGTGCGAATAAAGTGAGTATTTGAGAGCATGACGTGGAATGGGGCCGTTTTACTTGCTTTGCGCTGCGTGCTCATGTGCGGTCGCCCCGATCGCCGGCCGCAGTGGCCGAGAACACAAACGGGTCGTCGCGGTCCGAGTTGACGACAGCAGCGGCGGCAGGCGGGCTGGTAAGGATGACGTCACAGTCAGAGTAGCCTCCGTCGTCGTCGTCATCGTCTGCCCCGTCGTCGTCGTCGTCGACATAGTCGTTGGCGTGCAGCCACTTGAGCACAGTCTCAAAGGTGAGATACACGCATGCAGTCGAAGGAACAGCCTTGAGGGCGTTGGGCTTGAGGCCGCGGTAGAGGCCGATGAAGCCCTGCTCGCGGACGATGACCTGGATGCAGTGGGCGACGCCGCGGTACTTGACCCTGCGGTCGTGGACGCCCTGGGTCTGCAGCCGGGTCCGCACAAGCATCATGGGGTAGGTGACGATCTGCGAGAGGAGCGAGGCCGTGGCACCAAAGGCGAGCGAGGTGATGGACGGCAGGCCGGCGTGCAGCTTGTCATCACTCACGTGTTCCATGTAGCGGTCGCGGAGCGTAAAGAAGATGCCCATCTCCAGGGCCGAGTACGGGACGTAGCCGAGGAGGTTGGCGACGAGGCCGCGGTAGAGCGACTTGAAGCCGCCGGTCTTGACCGACCGCACGTAGCAGTCGAGGATGCCGGCAAACTCGCCCTTGGCAGAGACGGTCATCCTTGTCTTGACCACCTCCATCGGGTAGATGACCAGCTGGGTAAAGAGCCCGGCGCCGGCGCCACAGAGCATGTTCTCGTGCGGCGCCGGGGCCTCGGGATCGGCGGCAAAGGCGTCCGTCAGCACGTCGCGCCAGATGAATCGCGACGCCGTCTCGGGAATGACCTGTGCCCCATGGACCTCCTTGCGTGTGAGTCTTCTCCTGCTCCTGCTACTCTGGTGTGCGAGGGTGGGCGCATGTGCGCGGCCAAGTGGCGTCAGGCGAGGGATGGGCGGCTGAGAGGGCAAGGCGACGAGCAAGGGCGGGGGGGGGGGGGGGGGAGGGGGGATTGAGGGCAGAGACAAGGCGAGGAACATACCTTTGTGACGTTGGCAAAGTTGCCGCGCCAGAAGCCGCGGATACCGCCCTCGCGGTAGATGGCGCGGGCCTTGGCGGCTACACCGTGCTCTGCCCGGTAGAGGCGCTCGTAGGCCGCCAGCGACATCCCGGGCGGCCGGGTGGAGACACCGCGGCCCTCCTGAAGCAGAAGCTTGAGACGGTCGAGCGGCGCGGTGATGGTTCGCGAGACCGCACCGGCGACGCCTCCGGCAAGGAGGTTGGTCGCCAGAGGCGAGGTGCGGATGTTCGCCCGGAACTCGTCCAGGAACGCCCCTACGCTACCGGCTGCCATGAGTTGGGTGTGGCGGGGCGAGCGGCGGCAAAGGCTGAGGGAGGGACTGCGGGGCGGCGGCGGGGCGGGGGGGGGGGGGGGGATCGGGCCGGATCGGGGCGATGCGGCCGAAGAGGATGGGTGTCGGTATTAGGGGTAGAACGGAGGGTGGAGAGGGTGAGAGGGTGTTGAGGTGGGGCCAAGGAGGGGAGAGATCGCCGGTTGCGTTCGTGAAGGCAGGCGACGGACGAGCCATCGGTGGGCGGATGGGCGAGTGTATGGCGGGATGGGGAGAGATCGAGAAGAAGATTGTGTGTTACCGTTGGCGCTAGCCAACACGCTCGTGCTGGCTAACTGCGATTGACTGGGCGAGACTGGTGGGCGCTAGTGATGGCAGCACGACTTCGAAGGACCCTTGGAGCAGGCGTGGAAGCCGTGGCAGACCCAGGTAGCCATGCACGACGAGTCGCAGAGCCAGTGGACGAGCATGTCGCAGCCCTTGTTGAGGACGGCGTCGCAGATCGGGGCGCCTGCATCGCAAAAGGTGGAGAGGCCGGCGGAGAGGCCCTTGCAGAGGTACTTTTCGGACAACTTGATGCCCTCACCGATTGTGTCCTGGCACAGGCCGCACTCGCCCCAGATGGCGGCAACCTTGGGCTGCGGCGGAGTCGAGGCTTGGCAGATGCCGACGCTGGCGCAGGTCTGGGCCGGCTCGACCGCGTTGGCGGCATCGAGGCAGAGCTGGGCAACAGCGTCGAGACAGAGCGCGTCCTCGGTGGCGTCGACGCCAAACGAGCACGACTTGGCCTGCATGTGCGCGGTGCAGGCGGCCACAGTCCGGTTCAGGGCAGCGAACTCGTCCATCAGCTCCTGCTGCTTGAGCATGCACTTGTCGCACAGCACACCGAGGTACTTTTCCTGCAGGCCGCGGAACATAGCCTCGTCATCGGCCGAGAGGCTTGCCGGCACGCTGGCTGCCGCCGAGGAGGCGAGCGCGGCAACGAGCACGAGAGCAACAACAAGCTTGAACATAGCGGTTCAGTCTTGCTAAGCGGTTTGAAGAGTCGAGTGTGGCCGACTTGGCTGTACCCGTACCTCTGCCGCCGGTCGTCGTTGCTGGTTTTTCGCCGGCGGTCACGCGACTTTTCCAAATTGATTGGTGCGTGCGCATGACTTGTTTTTTTCGGCAAAATTGGCCGCACCGGTCCTGCCACGGCGGAGAGATGGGATGGCCAAGATGTCAGGGATAATGTGTGTGTGTGTGTGTGTGTGTGTGTGTGTGTGTGTGTGTGTGTGTGTGTGTGTGTGTGTGTGTGTGTGTGTGTGTGTCGCGA